GCATTTTCCCGTGGTTAGATAGTGAGTGTTCATATGAATTTTTTGTAGACGTGGCTCTTTAGCGTTATGTTTTTTTGTTATGTAATATTTAGTTCGAAAAGACCAAGACTACCACGAACCACAGTGTTAATAAAATCGGGTTAATAAAGTTTTTTCGTTGGCTTCTCATAAGTTTTTAACGGATATACTTGCATCAAATGAATATTTTTTCTTTCTTTCTTTCAGTGAGTATACCTTTAGGCCGGATCTTCGTCTCTACAAAGTCTTATCCATCCCTATTGTGAGAAAGGTCCCGTCGATTCTCAAATCAACTGCTCTCACACGTGACCGGCCCTCGGTAATCCGCCCTAAGCTCCCTTGAAAAATATTTGGAATCTGCTCGTCAGACGGATCCGTCGCAGGATATCCTGCCCTTAATAAAGATAAGAGATAACGAGCCAGTGCAAAAACACGCTACAGTAATGTTAGGGACAGAAGGCTCAGTGCAAATGGTGGGGGTAGTTCCATAAAGTCACAGAAAAGTTCTAGTAAATTGCAGCGACAACCTGCAGAATATTACAGCGAAATACTAACCATTCGAACCATTAACAACATTAAAACCTACATAGTTTTTAACACTGAGATTCTCTTTTGATTACTTACCTCCGTATACGCTACACGTGAAATGCTAGCTATGAGAAAAACCAGAAAGAAATTGTAGCTTAAAATGGTTGCCAAATATTTGTGAATTGAAAGAAGAGAAGTTAATTAGTTAACAGGTGTAACTCGATGACGGATCGTGACACAATAATAGCCTCTTAGTTCAAGTTCGCAATAAATAATTTGAAAAATAGATAATAGAGGAATAGGATTGGTGAGTTTAGAAAAGGTGGGATATAATAAAATTAAGTGATGCTCATTTGCGTTTTCCGGTACGCGGCCTCCACTCCAGAACCCTGCCCCATCGGCCGTCAGTTCTGCGTACTATATGCCCTGCCCATTGCCACTTCAGCTTGCTAATCAGTCGGGCTATGTCAGCGACTTAAGTTCGTTTACGGATCTCCTCATTTCTGATTCGATTTCGTAAAGATACATCTATTGAGCCTACTTTCCGCGTCTAGTGCACGCGGTGTTTTCGAGCGCCTCACAGTGTTTTAAAATCACTTGGAAGCGGACATTTTTTGGTGAATAGATGACATGATTTAACAAGTAAATCTAAGTAAATTCCTAAAAGAAACCCGTGGTCTATCTTCAACAGCTTTCGAGAAAAAAAATTTTTTTTCGAGAAAAAAAATTGCAAATTTCTCAAAAGTATGTTCTCAAAATTCGGTGATTTTTTTTTCATGATTNCAGTCGATATTGAAGGCCACTTTGACGGCCCATTTAGTGCGGGAAAGACCTTGTATGGCCGTCGCCGTTGTTGCCGAAGTATTGTTCCAAACGCTAATTAAAGGGCTTTGTGCCATTGAAAACGCTACACGATTCTTTATTTCTTTTCTTGGAAAGCCTTAAATCGAATACCGTTTGTATAATTAGCTTAATTAATGTAGTTAATAAACATAAAACAACAGCGTGGCTGTTGCTATGAGTGCTTTATTTATTGCGCAAAATATCTTAATTTCCCGTAAGTTTTCCTATTGAGGCTGTGGGAGTAACAAAGCAACAAATAATGTCTCCCACACATACAAACAATGTTGTTTTGTTATCAAGAACCACCTCAGCACGTGCGCTATCCGGTTCAATCTAGTGGCCACCGGTGTTTATGAAATATAAAGGAACAGTAGGGCGTCCATTATTTATAATTACTCTGTCTATTATGCGTCAATTTCTGATTTTGTGTAAGTATTGCTGACCACCATGAGTATCCCACTCATGATGCTGCAACGGTTTCCATAATTACTTGATTAGTGGCTATTTATCCAACTCTTGGTTCTGTAGTTTAAATGAATAATTCTAAATCCAGATTATTTATTTTCAGTAGGGATGTTATGGATATGTAGTTTCGGTTACGGTTACGGATATTTTTTTATTTCGGATATCCGAAAGTTTCGGTTACGGTTACGGATATCTGTGCTTTAGAATTCAATTTGCAATAGTTGTCCAACACGGTTCATTAATCGCCACACACTTTACATTGAATAAAAAGTAATAAATAAATTAAAATTGATACTAGATGGCATTATAAAGGTAAATCAAGCTGTTATGCCTTTACATTATAATGCTATACAAAAAAAATTTAAACTGCCTACATCCGAAACTATCCGAAACTTTTGAATCGGTTACGGTTACGGTTTCGGATATTATTTTGTTTCGGATATCCGAAAGTTTCGGCTACGGTTACGGATATCCATAACATCCCTGATTTTCAGTAACCTTAGCCGTAACTACAACCGGTGTTTTTGTATGGAGTTTGACAGATTTGACGTTTGAATTTTTTGACAGATTGCGATCCTATCGAGTAATCGTTCTATAAAAATGACCCTTGTGAATACGGATTTAGAACTGTTTTTCAATGAGACGACTTCTGAACGTCAGCGAGATCTTCGAGTGTCAAAATACTTTAATTAGGCCACTGGTCTTCCGCGGAAGCCCTAAGGTCTACTGTATATACAGGGTTGCCAAAACAGTGAGGTCTAAAAGAAAAATTTAGATTCCTTACATCAAGGTGTACCTAAATCACCCCCATGTATATTATACGATTGTGCTTAGTTTAGGAGATAGAGTTAATTTTGTGATATTTTAAAATTTTATGACCTAGTAGGCTTTAAACATTTTTATCTTTTTTTTGGGTTGACTTTTTTCAGATTTCTTTTTTTCGACAGATTTGTTATGAATTGCAAATGTTTGGAAAAAATAATCACCTTTCTATCTTTGATTCAAGATACAAAAGTTTTGCTAGAAACATTAAAATTATGCTTTTATCAGAACACTATCAAATTTTCAACTTAAAAGTTTAAGTAAAAAAAAGAACTTACATAGGTCCAAAACCATTTTAAAAACTGCGCCGTTTCCTGAACATTCATAATAATACAAAAAAACATGTACTTAATAGGCCACTATTTCCTGTAATCGGTCCACTAAAGTCGTAAGTCGGAGATTCCGTTACATGTTTTTGACTTTCTTAGAGTGAATTAATATTGGGAATTCTCTAAGTTTACATTACGTAGAACAGATTTAGAGCAGTAACTGGACAGAACATGTTTTTATTCTCAACGAGGAAGCTCTTGCCCTTCATCACACCTGGTGGAAACTGATGATTATGCTGAAGGTGGAAGGGAACTTCAACTACAAAGGAACTATGGCTTCCTACCTCCAAATTATGTTTTATTAGGTATTATATTAATTTGTTAGGTAATACCTATTTAGTTCGGAAATTATTTTGATGTGTTAACCACGACTACCCCGAACCACGATGTAATGAAATCGGGTAAACAATATCCCATAATATACAAGAAATAGATGCAAGCAAAGGTCAAACAGCTAACAGTATAATAATATAAGGAATTTAGTTGATCGATGGCTGAAAAAAGTGTTGAGAAAGTTTTTTAACGAAATACTTGCATCAAATGAATACTTTTTCTTTCTTTCTTTCAGTGAGTATACCTTTAGGCCGGATCTTCGTCTCTACAAAGTCTTATCCATCCCTATTGTGAGAAAGGTCCCGTTGATTCTCAAATCAACAGCTCTCACACGTGACCGGCCCTCCGTAATCCGCCCTAAGCTCCCTTGAAAAATATTTGGAATCTGCTCGTCAGACGGATCCGTCGCAGGATATCCTGCCCTTAATAAAGATAAGAGATAACGAGCCAGTGCAAAAACAGGCGCTACAGTAATGTTAGGGACAGAAGGCTCGGTGCAAATGGTAAGGGTAGTTCCATAAAGTCTTAGAAAAGTTAGAGTAAATTGCTGCGACACGCTGCAGAATATTACAGCGGAAAACTAACCATTCGAACCATTAACAACATTAAAACCTACATAGTTTTTAACACTAAGATTCTCTTTTGATTACCTTCCTCCGTATACGCTACACGTGAAATGCTATGAAAAAAACCAGAAAGAAATTGCAGCTTAAAATGGTTCCCAAATATTTGTGAATTGAAAGAATAAAAGTTAGTTGGTTAAAAGGTGTTACTCGATGACGGATCGTGACACAATAATAGTCACTTAGTTCAAGTTCGCAATAAATAATTTGTTAAATAGACAAAGAGGAATAGGATTGGTGAATTTAGAGAAGGTGGGATATAATAAAATTAAATGATGCTCATTTGCGTTTTCCGGTACGCGGCCTCCACTCCAGAACCTTGCTGCCCCATCGGCCGTCAGTTCTGCGTACTATGTGCCCTGCCCATTGCCACTTCAGCTTGCTAATCCGTCGGGCTATGTCAGCGACTTAAGTTCGTTTACGGATCTCCTCATTTCTGATTCGATTTCGTAAAGATACATCTAATTGAGCCTACTTTCCGCGTCTAGTGCACGCGGTGTTTTCGAGCGCCTCACAGTGTTTTAAAATCACTTGGAAGCGGACATTTTTTGGTGAATAGATGACATGATTTAACAAGTAAATCTAAGTAAATTCCTAAAAGAAACCCGTGGTCTATCTTCAACAGCTTTCGAGAAAAAAAATTTTTTTTCGAGAAAAAAAATTGCAAATTTCTCAAAAGTATGTTCTCAAAATTCGGTGATTTTTTTTTCATGAGTNAACAGTGCGTAAACTGGCATCACCGTACGTGATACTACATAGTTCTTATTTCTAATCTCTTCGGACAAAGCCCTCGCATAATTATGATAGAACTTCACTTTTGAAGTTCGTTTAATCATTAATTATATCTTGTATAATGTTAGGCGCATTATTGTGTTCCGGCAGTTGGAGGTAAGATAGCCAGTTCCTCCGTGGTTGAGGATTCCGGGTGAAGCTCGCTTCCACCTTCGGCCTGATCGTCACTTACCATCAGGTGAGATGCAGGCCAAAGGTTCCTCGTTGTAGTTAAAAAAAAACGTATTTTTTAGTAAATTAAAAAAACTTACGCGAATGTAGCGCCGCAATGCTTGCAAGCGAACGTATGACCGCTGTGCCATTTTGAATGTTCTTTCGCCCTGTATCTGAAATTAAAAATGTATCATTATCATTTCAGCCAATGGCAGTCCACTGCTGGGTTTAGATTTTAATTTAAGGTGGTTAAACTGTTTCTTTTTATATGCATGCTGTGCTTACGTCGAGTACGGTAAATCAGTGTAAATTGATTTTATAGATGACCCACGCTGAACTGTCCCACCAAACTCAATGACAGGGGGGCGCCACCATCGTTCAACTATATGGTTTACAACATGGCAAACATCGGAACCAGCGATCCGGTATTGACGGTGGCGCCCCGCTGTCAATGTCATGCATAGGACAGTTCAGTATTTTGGAACTATACATTCATTACTTTTGCGTGACATTTGTTTGTACCCAGTTTTGTTTTGTAAGCCAAATAAAAAAAAGAAGGCCACTACTATCTTCTAGAGGTCGTCGGTGCATCGAGCAATATCCCTGCACTATGTTCCAAGGGTTAACAGGAAAAAAAACTTTGGGAAGCGAACAATAATACTCATTGTAATAATTATTTCTTCATGCCTACATAAATAAAAATCATGTTTTTAAGAGACTTCTTACCTAGACTTGGATACGAAGGTGCACAGCTTACAAACGAACTTCTGTTCGTGGGAGCTCGCGATGTGGGCTCTTAGAGACCTCGTGTGGGGAAACCGCATATGGCAGACCTCGCATTCGTGGATACCGCTGCTCTGAAAGATGCGAGGGCACTTTCAATCGGTGCATTTGGCGGAAAATAGACATTGTAAGCGCAAGTTTATGTAGGGTATGAGTGCGAAACGGAACGTAAGGATGTGTGAAAGAGAAGGAAGAGTATGTGAGTGTGACGTACGACGAAGTGTAGACGAACGACGATTGTTTTATTAGATTACTATTTTTATTATTTTCTATCTCGGGCAAATAAATACGTGGGAATTAGAACCGCATTTCAATTCATACATTTATATCCGTTGTCTAAAGCCCGGTCTGCGAGCACGTAGAATTTTGTCCAATGACCCCAAGCTACCCATCCTTATCGCTCGCGCGTAATTATATTGCTGTCGCGACTGTGCGACGGGCGCCCGCAGTGAGTGTGCGAGCGCGACAGCAACATAATTACGCGCGAGCGATAAGGATGGGTAGCTTGGGGTCATTGGACAAAATTCTACGTGCTCAGTGACCAGACTTTAGAAGCGTAGTGTAAAAATAAAATGTCCAAGGTTTTAAATATAAAAAAAGTGCGGGGCACTTGGCTCGTAGAGCTGAAGCAATGCTGACCAAAAGAACTATAAAACTTACCGGTTCATGCCTGGCCATGTGATTCTTGTACGTTGTGTCCGTTATAAAACCTTTGTAGCACATCTCGCATTTATAAAACGAGTTCAAATAGTTCGTTGAAGTCCTCCTTGATATCACTTCAGCCATTTGCTCTTCCTTCGTTAAAATCAACACATCAACTTCACCATTTGGGAAATCGTTATCCCAACTCTTTGGTAGTTTCAACAAGTCCTCATCCTGTGGTTTTGGAGATTCACTAATCGATTCCTCTTCTTTAATTGATTGAACGTCTTCAGCCGGTTCACATTTTTTAACTTTACAGGATAATGGTTCTTCGTCACTGGATTCTGATTCTTTCGTTTTATAATCCTGATCGTAGTCCCAATCCCAATCATCTTCGTCTTTGATAACCTGCTCATTGCAACTGATCACATCGTTGGTTTGTGTGGTGAGAGGGAACGGATGTAGGATTTTCAAGTTTTCAACATAGTCTGTTGATAGCTGAAAAGATCGTCATCATACGTTGATAAAAGTATGCCTCCTAAAGCCTGGTCCGTGAGCACGTAGAATCCCGTCCAATGACCCCAAGCTACCCATCCTTATCGCTCGCGCGTAATTATGTTGCTGTCGCGCTCGCACACTCACTGCGGGCGCCCGTCGCACAGTCGCGACAGCAATACACCGTGTTACTTTGCATTCTTGCCATATTCACAGAGATAAAAGTAGGNGTGCTTTATTACTCACATAAGTCAATTGTGTTACAACTTCAACAAAAGAACAGACCAAAAATCGTATTTTAACACACACAAAATAAGCCAAATTAAAATTTTTTTTTCTCGAAAGCTGTTGAAGATAGACCACGGGTTTCTTTTAAGAATTTACTTAGATTTACTTGTTAAATCATGTCATCTATTCACCAAAAAATGTCTACTTCCAAGTGATTTTAAAAGACTGTGCGCCTCCGCAAAAACATCGTGTTAGAGCAGTAAGCCACAGGCGCGCCTGGGCAGGCGACCTATTAGGGCTCTCATTCCCAGTGCTATGAAAAACATTGTCTGTGCAAAATAAGTTATCTTGAATCTTTATTTTACCTTTAATTTCCTTTTTCGGAATTAATTACAGTGAAAACTCTTTATAACGATTTAACAGCACTCTTCAAAACGTCTGACTTGCTTGATTTTAGTTGATTTACCTTGTTTCCTATCCGCTTTACCTCGTCTCTCCATTTAACGTCTACTGTCTATAACGTCGAAAATAGTCAGTTCCATAAGTGTCGTTACATAAGTTCACACAGTACAATGTACATTTCGATTTTGAGTTTGAATCTCATGTTAAATTAAAATATATAAAATTTGTTAGTTCCAATTCCTTATTTACATTCGCAATTTATCTCCTTGGTAAATTAAAATTTATTATGAATGCCTAAGTCGTGGTAGTATAAAAGCTAGAGCAATGGCGGGCGTCTTGTTTCCATAATCGCTAAGGTTTTCCCTCTGAATACTAAACTGAGGCTACGCTGGTTTATTTATCTTACAAATATTTTTACGCATAACCTCCGTCACGCGTAGGTTTATTTCATTCGTGGCCGTGACATCCCTGGCGTGTCTGATTAATTACGTTAACCGTTGTTACGATATCATGCTTGAAACGACCAACATACTTTAGGTATTTACCTAAATACGTAGCTATCTATTACATCATCTTCTTTTTTCTTTACATAGTGGTCCTAAAAAAGAAATTAAAAACATTTTCACATCCAGTTCGTTCGTTTCAGCCAAATGACGTCCACTGCTAGACAAAGGCCTCCCCCAAGGTTTTCCATAATGAACGGTCCTGCGCTGCCCGCATCCAGGCTCTTCCCGTGACCTTTACCAGATCGTCGGTCCACCTAGTAGGAGGCCTGCCCACGCTACGTCTTCCAGCCCGTGGTCGCCACTCGAGAACTTTCCTGCCCCAACGAATTGCTAAAATCAAGTGGCAGTGGGCGGGGCACATAGCTCGAAGAGACATCCAGTTGCAAGGAGCTAAATTAAGCGTGATACTGGGATTGTAGAACAAACAACTCGTCTATTTCAATCTTCAAACAGCGTGTCTGTTAATAAGAGACTAGAATTAAACAAACCCCCTGATAGTTGTGTCTCGCTGAATAATGCAGAGTGAATTAGAACTACGACTATTTAATTGGAATATTCAGAAAGCTTGTAATTTATGTAGACATCGTAGACGATGCTACGGCGCTACGGTCAGGGAAAGCATTTAGGTAGACTACGACTACGAGTATATCGTAGACACTGCTACGAAGAATGATGTAGCGCTTGGGGAGTAGTTTGTGTCCTTGGTTTTATTTATAAAGCTTTAAGCTACATTATTTATTTATTTATTTGATCACAACAAGGTTACATTGTAGCGTTCACAAAAACAACTTACAAAAATTATGCTAAGCATGAATAATTTTAGCGTGTCTTTAGCCCGTATCACAAACGACGCTTGCTTAAGTAAAGCAAGCACGAACGCACAGCGTTGAATAGAGCTCTGTGATTGGTTCGTGTGTCACCTTGTGCGTCCACGCGCACTGTGAGACGTCATAGTAATGTTTGTGAATACGGGCGTTAATCTGTATTTCTTGTCATGTGTTATAATAAAAATGCGCTAGTTTTTGTTTTTCATTCCGAATGCGACATGTTCACAAAATTCGTTGATGCGTAAAAATATTATACGCCGAGATAGAAGTATTGTATAACAGTATCCGTTCGTAGATTAAAAATGTCGCTTGCAAATGTGGCTGCACACGTGAGGCGCGGTAGTGTGACAACACGTTTTACTTTGGTTAGGATAAATATTTAATAATTCCACTATTTAACTTAAAACTAATGAAGCTAAATGATTTCATTCGCTGTCATGGATGTTGAAAGTGGCTTCTTATTTATTTTATTAATCATTATAGGTTATCAATGTCTGCGCGTGTACTTCTATTTCCCTCTAGATTCGTGCACTAAAATACATACAAAAGACATACAACCGCGTATTTATGACTGTTTATCGAGTATTCCCAAGCAACTATTAACAGAAATTTTCAAAACTAACGCCAACTTAACTCTAAACAAAAAAAAAACTTATTTATTACTCAAAAATAAAAGTGTGTCTGTGAGGCAAAGAAGCGAGGATGCTGCAGGATGCATTTCCTCGCTGAATAGCAATACTAAGCCTTTGTGCAAGGAAAGAGCCATCATTTAAATCCGAAATTTTAATTAATTTAGGGGAAATGGTCAGAAATAGTAATTTAGCATTCGGTCCCCAGCAACTATTTAGGCCAGCTTCTCGATGTGTAAGTAGGTAGGTTACATCGAATGTAGGGTATTTCTCCTAACTTTTCTTTAAGTTAGGTTGTATACATGGTGACCCTACATTGGTTAAAAATTGAATGCTTCCAAATAATAGGAGTCGGCGAATGCTAACCCTCACCATTCCGGTGGCTCGTGATAATTCCGTTGTTTTAGCAGATTCCGTTGCTGGGATGAACACTTTCCTCGTGTGGCACCGGGGTAAGTGACAATAACTGGTTTTGTGTTGAATATGTTGATTTGTTTCTTATTTTTGGGATTACTGAGAGATTAGTGTTGCAAAAAAAAACGTTTTTTTTCTGTTGTGAAAAAAAAAACGTTGAAAAAAGAAACTGTTTTTTTTCTGGACCATGTTTTTTTTTCAAGAGTACGAAATCCAGAACTTTTAAAAGACAAATACTTAAGAATACCTACATAGGTAATAGAGATTTTGATTTTATTTGAACGTAGTTGGCTTAGCGCAGTTGGTGTGTGTGACGGACGGAGAAAGTTCAATATCGAATTATTTAGTTTTTGTGCTATTCGAATGTTCTTTTCGAGTGTGATTACCAACTAAAATACCTGAGTATGCCGAAACGAGTAGGTTCAGACCTAAAATGTAAGGCAGAAAAAAAACAAATTTAGAAAAAAAAAACAACGGTGCTAAGTTTCTTTTCATGTTTTTTTTTTTTCAAAAAACTGATAAAAAACTAATTTGTTTTAGAGATATTTCAAAAAAGTAAAATTTCCTCGTCGTCTAAAGCAATGTTTCATACTTTTATCGAGTTACAACTGCATTAATAAACAAGTACTTATTATCTGAAGTAAGCACTATACTATTTGACAAATTAAAAGTATTTTACCATAACTGCGACAATGCAAACCGCTTTGCATGGAAGTGTCTATGTTGATGATTCAGTACGTTACATTGTTAATCTAGAAAATACATAAATATGCTTCTTTAGGTCATCTGTTCTTCAAGCAGACATACCGCTTTCATCATCTGTAATACGTAGTGCCTTGATGATGACATCCACAATAAAATTATGCCAATGGCCGATTGCCCATATGCCTAATATCGCCCTAAATGCATCTGTTCAGCAGTAATCGAGGCCGAATATAGCCGTCAAGCCGAACGAGCCGTTAACGTGATTGTCTGCTGGTAGCCACAGCAGCATATACATCAGTCAAGAAATTCCATTGGGTGTTAAAATCAATAATTTCAGCATATCTTTTCCCAAATAACTTACACCTGACAAATTAGTTTATATTAACTGTGGTATTATAATTTAGGTGAACACGGTTCAAATAATCAATTGCGAGAAAATGCTTTGTCATAAAATTCTTTGTACTACCTCTTTTGTAAATGAAAAGAGATCTGAATTCAGAATAATTGAGTCGTCTATCGCTTCAAATGTGCCACATACAAAGTCTTCTTATCGCTAACAAAAGATGTCAAATAAAGGGAAATTACATTACGGATACCTCTCATGATTTAAGCATCAGCAAAAATAACTCATTTAGAAGGTCTCCTGAAAAGAAATCAGGTGTGAAATAAATCCTCTGTGATTTTCCAACAATGGCTGAACTCGCTTATAAAGGCTTTAATAATAATGAGGGATTCGCGGCGGGCTCTTTGTTGGGCGAAATTTGTTTTACTTCAGACCTGCTTAGCGTCAGTTTGACAGCTGTTTGTTACTGTCATTCTAATACTTCGGTTACAGGCTTACGAAGTTACGAAACAGTCTTCAAGTAGTGTCATACGTGTGGTCCGCTAAGAGGGTCATTAGCGAATTAAAATAATAATATCCACATTCCACATAACTCATAAGATCACCCATGCTTTTAATGGCATATGGATAAAAGCGAGCCTACAGCACTATACAGTTCCGATCGTAATATGATATTATTAGGAGTGTTTTTTTCCTATAATTCATGTTTTATACTTTGCTTTATTTAGGTCACGGTTTATTACATGGCGAAATTCTGGTTGGATCGAAAATGCATCTAGGTACACCGATAGCAGTGTGCGCAGTAATTGCGCTGATAATGGCGATAGCGACATTTAATTACGCTGTCGCCAGCTGCGGCCGCACTACAACATCGATCTTGGTTATTTTGGATTGTCGCTACAGTAAATCACTGTAATATAGGCATTATTAATCATCAATGTTTCTTATGAACATAAAACAAAAGCTAGATAGAAGTTCTCAGGGCTATACCATCTTAATTTTTGGGTCTAACCCTGGAAAACAGTTGGCAAAGGTTACTTGGATTGAGTCTCTAAAAATCTTCAAAAAGCAATAAAAATCAAAAATATTATATTCAATTTAGATCACAAGTGGCAGTTATGAACGTCAAAATATAGTAAATAAAAAAGAGGTAGCCCTTATGGGGCACTTTACATGTCTCCTTATCTTTTGGGCCCTACCAACGCTTCGAGACAAACATTATTTATTTATTTATTTTATTTAATTACAAAGGTTTTATACCTTATTACATAATTATGGCAAGTGCTGAGAAGAAACGCCGGAATAAACGAAAACGAAAAAATCAAATTAATCTTGAATCAACTAAACATTTTTATTTTACCTAATCATGAAATCTAGTACGTACTTACATAAGTACCACTCCCTACCCCTTATTCCTCAGTTCATCCCTACTGTAACTCGCCTGAAAGTCGCAGCTCCCTGAATATGTTTTCACAAGTTCGTATCACCTGCGTCGTAGTCCCAAGGACTTCACAATGCCTAATTTGGGCCCATTTATTTGTGAATAAAGTTGGTCGTCGCGAGCAAACTTTTCGCTCCGCGTAATGAGTGCGTGCGGGGTGTGTTCATTAAAATCATTAGTGCGCAAATCGCGGCGCATTATAACTCGCTCTCGAGGGTACTCGGAGTTTATTCATTATATTTAAATCCACTCTTGGGTGGGGCTATGTTGATAGCGGAATGATACTGAAATGATTTTTGCGAATCAAACATTTTCTCGGAACTGTTCCAGTTTGACCTCTAATTAAACCAATAAATATAAGCACTACGAATGGATGAAGGATTTATAGTTTCAACATATCGATTTACTGAGGTAAAAGGAACTTCCTTTTTATCTGTTTTTACTTTATTGCGCGGCGACACAGGGAAGAGGTTATGTATTTATTTGTGAAATAACTGGGAATTTGTTCTCTATATTTTGTTTGCAAAATAATGATTCAAATTTTGACACATCCAGTAGTAACTAATGATTTATTTTTCTTTCCAGGTAAGTCACATAACCAATTTCCAGTCACACGACCAACATCCACGTAACAAAGGTAAGTCTTTCGCTGATATCGGCACCGCGCCGATCCTTATTCAAGAGCAGGGACGCGATACTTCCAGGCGCGGAATTATGCAGTCCCCCGGATTGGGATGAATATTTAACTGCCACCGGTATCGGTGAGGTAGGCGATTATCACACTGCGTCGCGCTCCGCCGCGGTACGCGGGACGACAGATTTAATCATTGTATGCAAGTACCTCAGTTTGTATAGAAAACACGCGCGGCACAACACACTGACAACGCGTCTGCGCGCGGGATTTTTTATATGAAATCACGCGGACCGCGGCGGAGCGCGGCGCAGTGTGATAATCGCCGTACTCTCGCTGGCTTACCGGTTGTGCCGATTAGGAGCGATTTTACTAATTGATGTTCACTTAAGGTTCGGCCAAAACAACGCGTGCAGGCAATGGCGATAGTGATCCTACTGATCGAATCTTTGTGCGTGTTTACTGAATGAAGGAGCTAAAGTTAATGAATGTTATCATTATGAGTTTTGAGCATCTTTAATTACTGCTGATAATTACTAGTTGTGCCTGCGACTTTGTACGTAATTCGCAACTATCAATAACTATAAATGTATTACTTCACAATCTAATTTCGCTTCTACGACTTCGGGCTCTCTAACTTTATTTCTAACAACTTTTACTAGTAGAAGCTGCTTTTAGTAACTTAATTTATTACTAGACATGATAATAAATAAACTACTGAAATCCATTCCAATTTTGTCGGAGTCAATATTCGAGGTACATGAAGCCTTTCAGAAGCAATCTCGGCTTCAGCCGTAATGTATTTGAGGGAATTACGCATGATTGATATTGCTTACCTTTTAGAAGCTCGTCTAGTGCACTATCTATCAAACTAATGTGTGGACACAGGAATTATTCATCGCACGCAGTAGTAAAATGTAAACAATGTACGAGTAAAAGTTTACATCCTTTGTTCAATATAATTTATAAACAGTTATAAGGGTTCTTTAAAGCTAATACTTCCACATTTAATCCCGTTCCTCAATTTAAACTGTCCCAAAATTCACAATGATACAGAAAATTTTAAGTATAGGTAAAAAGTGACTTTAAAATGTAAAAGGGATGAATTTATTGCAAAACTTGCGCAATGAATGTCGGAGGAGATATTTTTAAAATTAAATTACAATAAAATGAGCGAGTCGCCCACTCAGGTATTCATTTATGTGGGTTTACAGCACGCTACTGAATCCGTACGTAATGAGGGCTATCGTTTTAGCGCTCACCAGTTAGCGCCACTGTAGAGTAAGGTCCTGTCACTTGCTAGTAGCGAAGACAGTGGCGCCAACTTGTGAGCGCTAAAGTGGTAGGAGGACTATCGCATTTGCACTCATCAAGATGGCGCCACTGTAGAGTAAGGTCCTGTCAATCGCCAGGGGTGCCAACTGTTAAGTATAAAAACGATAGCCCTCATTATGCTACGAGGTTTTGTACTGTGAACTCGTAGCTCGTAGTCCCGTAGCACGTAGTTACGTAGCAGCTACGAGCGAGACTTATATTGCGCTTCGTAGCATTGAAAAACGCATTCATAGCGCGAATTCGCCCCAATTTGGTAAATGTGTTTTAATTAAGGTTCTATTCACTGAACTGCCTAATTACTGCCGTAGTTGAATGCCAATGTGTTTAAATATTTCAATTATTATTTAGACCGTTAATGTTTTTGTATTGCAAGTTTTTTTTGCATAAGAAATTTTGCCCTCGCATTATTCTAAAATGAGTATGTAGGAAATCTTACCTATCTTTTAGGTCACGTGACCGTAGGCTATAGTAGTGTTTATCTAGTCGATTTCTTCACCCTGCGTGGTAAGGCTTCGTCGCAGGATAAACATTATAATGGCAGGGCAGAACGCTGATCCCGTATTACCAGCTTAGTATCGTCTGG